ATGTTTACATGTGCTGTCATATGTTGCTGATTTATTCAAGGTTAAATCTAAACATACACAAACATCATACCAATAAAATGTCGTTATAGGGCTTTGGAGTTGACGTCACGCATTGTGGGATCGCGGCGCCATGTCAGTAGGCTAGAAAGCAAAACAAGCGCACAGTGTTGCAGTGTTGGATTCGGGACTGCCAGAACCTTGCTCAAAATCAGCGCAAAAGACAAAGGGCTGTATCACGACCGATTGCGCTCAGACGCCAAGAGACGGTACTTTGAAAAAATTGTGTGCATCGGTAATGTGGACCCGTATGAAATAAGGAAGTGGAGTGGAAACCCAGACGACCACTGTGACCTCGTTGTGTGGACACAGAGAGACCTTGCTGTGATATGCATCTTCGGATTTCTGGGAACCGCGTTTAAAGCAAGCACAAGACTTCTTTCTTAAAGTGTGCCTTCCTGAACTTGTTGGGAAATACTTCTCCAAACAACGTGCTGCTCTAAATAGCCTGTAATGTTTCATTTTGTGGTTCAAGATTGATGCCAGCTGTGTGTTGCCATGTAAATAGTTTGCATTTCATTTGTATGTACTTGCTAAGTACATGTGAACAGATCACCAATAAAAAGCAAACAAACAAATATACTTCTGTTTTATTGAAACTACTTTACACAAAGTACAATTATTTACAATGAACTACACATGCAACACAACAGTTTTATGAATACTCAACAAGAGCAGGTTTCATTTTGCACTGGTTTGACAACCACTCTGGGGCACATATTCACCAAAACACAGCAAACCTTAACAAACTTATCAAGCAGTGTTGTGTCTTCACCCTCACATGATATGAGTAATCAGATTGGCATTGTAGCATTTTGAACTTGTTGCGCAAACTACCTATTACTCGCTCAACATGAATTCTCAGAAGGGCAATTGCTCTCGTTTGTTCAACGTCCCTTGCATCAAGTTGACAGTAGCCTTTTGTAAACGCAGGAATCTTGACCTCCGCACACATCATTCCTACAGCATCTCTGATGTCAAAGCCTCTGTCAGCCAATACTACGTCCCCTGGTAACAGCTTTTGAAGAATGCCACATTTCTCTGTGATGTGTTTATCTGATGCATGCCCCCCCATCCCCTGGAAATGAAAGAAATAGATCTGTGGGGTGTAATCCCGATGAGGTATTTTATGGTGTGTGTACCCTTATAATGAGAGTATGTTTGTGCACGTGCCTTTAAATTAGATGGTCTTTCTGTTCGAATCTCAAAACAGTCAACAATGATGGCTACTCGTTTTCCAAAAGTTTCAGTAAAATGTGGAGGCATTGTGGCCTGCAGACAGTGCCTCTCAGGCCAGTGCACCAGTGCTCCTAAGCGGGCATACAAAACATCAATGGTATCGGCGAAGATAGAAGACAGTGTTTTGTGGGACACATTGAATAGATGACAAAGATGCTGGACTGGAAGATCAAGTCTCAGAAGCATTAGTGTGAGTAAGAGCATTTGGAAACCTGACAGTTTCTTCGATACTGGCAGGAAATCTTTTACAGTGTTGAAGAGGGACATTAAGACAGCATAACAAAGTAGTCCAGTGTAATATCTTACTTTTTTGGTATAATCCTTTAAGAAATGTTCATTCAGCTCTGTCTTTTGCAACTGTGATCGAAGCAGTCTGTTCTCCTCCAACAGCCGGTTTATTTCTGCTCTGCCCTGTTCATTGCACACACAATCCTTCGTCTGCCCTTCAGCTTCCATGATGCTGTCTGCCCGATCACCACTGTCCACATTTGCAGCTGGTACCTCAACCTCCACTTGTCCAACACAACTGCTGTCCACTGCCTCCATGACATTGTGATTTTGTTGTTGGTCTTCTGTCAGATCTTCATCAATCACTTCTGCACGGGGCACACCTTCAGACTCTGCAGCTGCATAATGAAAGCCTGTAAGATAAAATTAGACATAAGGTAAATCTACACCAATATTCCAATGACAGGTGTGTGATTCATCTGGAAGTTATGTGCGGATTAGTGTATAGTGATAGCAATTTAGTATGTTTTAGAGGGAGGGGGGGTTCTTTACCTCCGATGGGTGCTCTTTTTCGCTTCCGTTGCATACGCCTTGCGTGCCAGTCCGAGTCTGACACAGGTATGTTGTCGTGCCCCATGTGCAGTGTTGGAGTCTGGATTTGTTACACCCATTTCATATGCTGGTTAGCCTGCAATAATGCTAAATCATAAGCTACTCAGTCGACATGACGTGGTTCTGCAGCATCACACATTAGCATGTTTTATCTCATTATCTATGACCTCAGCACATTGAAAATAACACTAAAAGCCTTTCAAGAGTGATATGAATTAATTTAGAACTCACCGGAAAGAAAATGCCGCGAGCAAACCAACAAAAAGCTGGGGATTGCAGAGAACTCGATATCCGCTCGTCTCACCGCTGCAATCCAAGCCTGACGTCTTTGTTTGTAATATCGGATACATGGGATCCCTCACGTTGCCTCCAGGATGGAAAACGATGAAAAGAGAGCCCATTATCCAGCTTCTTGCCTTCACGATTGTGTGAAAATGAGTTTGATATTTCCCACAAAAGTTTTCCTCACACAACACAAAGTGGCACACAACAAAAATAATAACCAACTAGGAAGAGAGACAGCAAATGGTCTGTGTAGAAATGAAGAGACCCAATCAGGTAAAGGGAGACAAGCATTTGACAAGAATTTGATAATAACACTGGCAGAAGAAAGGGTGAAATCCCAAATCAGTCTAATGGATGAGAGTGGACAAGAACATCAGCCTAAACAAGGACAAGAAGCAAAGAATGATACCAGCATTAACAAAAACAAAAACAAAACACAAACTATAAATGATGAAACAGCATGTCAGATTCCAATAGTGAGAAAATCCTCTCTCTACTGCAGGGGTGGGCAATTCCAGGCCCCGAGGGCCGGTGTCCTGCAGGTTTTAGATCTCACCTTGGGTCAACACACCTAAATCACATGATTAGTTCATGGCCTCTGGACATGTTGAGGAGCTAATTTAGCCATTTAAATCAGCTGTGTTGGTTCAAGGACACATCTGAAACCTGCAGGGACACCGGCCCTCGAGGCCTGGAGTTGCCCACCCCTGCTCTACTGTGATAAAGAAAGAAAACAAAAACAAACTAAAAGGAGTTTGTTTAAAGTTTGGACGAAGGAAAGTCAATCTACACATAATTTAACAGCAGTATAAAGGATGGCGGTGGATAATAACAGCTAATGGACGAAAGATAAGTGAAAAAATACGCACCAGCTGGACACCAGAGTTCCCCTACTGAAAAGAAGACAGTAAAAGAAAACCAGGAGAAAGGATAAAAGGCAAAATTACAGATCTTTAAAAAAAGAGCGAAAAAATGATTGTCTTTTGTTATAATATTAAGTAGTTACTGGGTCAATAGTGTAGTGTTTTACAGATCAGCTTAACAAGCAAAAATCCCAGAAGGAGATACAAATCCCTTAGGTGTTGTGTCAGGACGGACATCCAGTGGAACAATCTGACAGTTTAAACATAAGTTACCTGCTGTTGGACCTGCTTGTCAATAATACCTGTTTTTAATTACCAAAAATAGAGAGGGTATAGCCTAACATAGGAAACAGGAAAAGACTGCCGTGTAATCCATTTATGTCAACAAAGTAACTGTATTCTGAATACCACCTTTTAAAAAGGTAACTGTAACGGGATACAGTTACTCATATTTTGTATTTTAAATACGTAAAGCCGGTACATGTATTCCATTACTCCCCAACACTGAGTGCTGAGGTCACTAGGAATAAAAGAAAACTGAAAAACACACAAAAAAATTAAGCAGACAGTGGCTTCAGTGGACACTTTTCATTGTTTTAACCCTCAGTGTCACTTCAGGTCTTCATATGTTATAAATTTGTTGTTCTCCGTATGTGTAACGGACCAACAACAAGACACACCCATCATCTCCAGGGTCTGCCAAAAGCTTGTGTGTGTGTAAAACTTTAAATTTTATGTACAGTAAGCGTGTTATTTTTTTAAAATTCTTTTCCGAATCATTAATTAAACTGTTTCATATTTATGAAATAAATCTAAATATTCATATAAATATTCAATAAACATTTCTCCCGCTTAAAACGCTACATAACTGCATGATTGAGAAAGCATCAAGACGTTTGTCTGTGTGTGTATAAAAGATGTGGGGCAGTGGCCAGGGATGATCCGAGTGTTTGGTTGGGATGTTTCTCTCCACATTGCAATGTGTTTATTAAACAAACTCCAAAACGCTCACTGGGTGTGTTGCAGGTTATTGTTAACATTGAAGTACGCTTAACTATTGAATATTAACATAAACAAGCCTAAAATACAGCTTTTTATTTTCCACCACCTTGATAGCTGTCAGGATACACTGTGTGACAGGCAAATATTAAACCCAATATGCAGGACTGCAGAGACAAAGGGTAACTCGAGAAGACAGTTTTATTATTGGAACTCACAGGAGAATATAAAACAAAGCTGGGCTTGAGCCAAAAGTGCAAAAACAAAATCACAAAATAGAGCAATAGATAATAATAACCAAAAATATAATATGTGGGATAACACAACAGGGAACTGAGGAAAAACTGAGTGCTTAAATATACACACGAGATAATCAGGGAGAGAGACACAGCTGGGGAAGCAGAGAGACTGGCAAAATAAGACATGACATATCATAACTTGAGAACACCTAATTTAGCTGTACACAAGAAACACGGAAGAGAGTGTGAAAATATAACAAGAGACAACACCAAGATTATCAGAATACTAAAAGAAAAAAAACAATTCAATTCAATTTATTTATAAAGCGCAAGATCACAACAACAGGGACCGCAAGGCATAAATAAATATTAACTAAAACTCAAGGACTACATCATTACCATAAACTTAGAACTAGAATTTCAAGAACACTCGAAATAATTAAGGAAACTCTTAAGTGGGAATGAAGAGAAATAAACTCAAAGCACTCAGTCAACGACCCAGGAATCATGACAGGTTTGCCTCCTTTCTGCAGTTTACTGTTCAGGTGTTGCTCATTGTGGCCTGCAAGACAGAAAAAAAACACTATAATATAACACTTAGCTTTTACAGGATGTTGCCCTGATGTTCAGGCTCTTTTTTTTTAACTTAATGTAGCCAGATGGGCTACTGTCCATTGCTCTCTCATGCTCTCACTTTCTGTAGCGCTGCTAGTCAGGTAAGTCAAGTTGCACTTTAATTGAAGGGTGGGATCTTCAAAGGGCCATTACTTTAAAAGGCAACATCAGAGCAGCTTGAAATTGACATGGAATCCCTGTGAAGTTGTATACTGTCAACATAAACTGCAGTTAGTCTCTGGAAAGATTGATTTTCCTTTTAAGAGCATTCTGAAGTCATTGAAAGAGTAGGTTGTATATGGGCAATTTCAAAGGGATTTTATTTTGGAAGACAAAATAAATCAGACGGACTTGATATTGACATGATATGCCTGTCAGGTTGTATACTTTCGATATGAACTGCAACTCTCCTGTGGTAGCATGATTTTCTTTTTAAGAGCATTCTGAAGTCATTAAAAGAGCCACAGAGAGCTGCGCGGAATTCCTTTTTGGGGTATGCTACGATCGAATATCACAACAACTATAACCGGTAGAGGCCACAGTTCACTCGTGTGGTGCCAGTTACTAGGCCTGTGTATGTTTTAATTTTGTTTTTAAATGTGTGTGTGTTTGTATTAAATGTTGAAATATATATCAGTGTTCTTTTAGGTTTTTATGACTTTTAATGTGTTTTTTTGTCATTGTTGTTCTTGTTTTGTTTTTATTGCAGTGAACTGAGGACACAACAGTAGCTGTGGGACCTTCGGTGGTGGGTCGTTTTCCACACCTCCTGTGTTGTACAGCACAGGGTGTAGATTTGGTTTTTATGTGTGATTTTCTTCTTTTATGGTCCTCAGTTACTGGTAAGTCCAGTTCAATATATGGTGGCTTTATTTAATTTAGGACACTGTTACAGAATAGGCTGTGCCACGGTAAGTTTTTATTGTTTTATTGTTTTAGTTTTTATTTTAACAAATGCAATTAAAGATATATTAGTATTGGAGGCCATCTTCCTCAGTCATGCATCTTTGAACCTGTGTAATCTTTTTATTTTATTTTTTATTTTAACTTCTTTGATCACTTCGTCACATTAAGTTAACTTTTTTCCTTAAGTGTTAGTAGGTGGAATAAAAAAAAGTATATAACTTGGGTCTAATGATAATACCAGAGCAAATCACATAAACTAAACGGGACCATAAAAGATGGTTTACAGTAATAAAATTGAATATGTTTTTACATTAAAAATATTATTTTGTAAATTCTAAAATGTAGCTCACTGTAGGCAAAAATAGTCTTACTGTCTGGATGGGTGAATAAATGACCGTCTCTGGAGAACTCGACTCTTCAACTGCTGGGGGAATCGGGGGCAGTGTGGAGCATGATAATCCTGAATCTGCCATTGAAATTGAGAAAATATGTTTTCTTTTAGGAAGCAAACATCAATTTTTTAATATAAGATCACTGTAAATATTTTTGCAATGTGCCTTAACTGTGCTGGCATAAGTTTATAAAAGGCAGGAAATAAAGAAGGAAATGCAATAAAATGTCCAAATGTTCATAACAAACGAACCCAGTTCTTGAGTTTGTTCTGTCTTGTTTATGATCACAGTGGTGTAAACAGGTTGTTCTGAGATATCGTCTGAAGGGGAAGAATCATCTGTAGGCAAGAGAGGTTATTATGCATGTATGTATTAGAATATATATATATACATATATATATATATATATACTCTAAAGCTGTTTTTGGTAGCCCTCACGCTTTTCTTTTTCTGGCTTTGTGCTGTGGTTTGACCTAAGACAGTTTTAAATTATCAAAGCATCAGCAGTGTCTAAAACAAAAACCCCACATACGACATACTGAGCAGACACAAAAATAATCGTTCTGTGCAGCATATGCCACATAAAAATACCACACTTCACGTTTAGCTTTTATTTAAATTTTCTTATATCTCAACTTACTGGAAATTGAATCATTCAGTCTCTCAAACAAGCAATACACTTTTAATCCATTTATACTGATTAAGACAAAAGTCATCCAGTCCCACTGTGACATTGATTTGGACTGGTTAACAAATTTGATTGATAAATAGATAGAAAGCCATAAAATTGGAGACAAGCATGAAATAGAGTAATACAACTGTCATAATTATTTTTCCTCTCACCTCCTGGACGGTCTTCATCTGAGTTTGATGCTACTGATGATGTCTTTGAGGAAACTAATGAATAGAAAGAAAAACCCAGCATTAGAAAAAAAATGAACAGGGAATAGAAGACTATTCTTAGAAATTAATCAAACTGAAAAAACTGAATTACCTTGATGTTTGCGAGTATTAAGAAATCCGACTACCAGCAGCATCAATATTATCAGTAAAATAGGCAACACAGTCCACAGCAGGATTAGGACAGGATTGTAACTGGAGTCATCTGACAGGGTCTCTCCTGAAGAATATGCTGCAATGGCACAACTTTATAAATATAATTGCATGTGCATTTTTTACTACTTAAAACAAAAAGTTTCAATGTGATTTTTATAACATAAACATTTTCATAAAGACCAAAAGAACAGAAATCTAATTGTTAGTCACATCTCTCTCTCTATGAAATGAATGAACATTTCTCTCAGCCACAGAAATAAGTAAATATAGTTTTAGCCTTACATCTGACATGAAGCCAGCTTTCTGGTGACGTTCCAACACCAGAAATGCTGCACTTGTATCGTCCTTCATCAGACCTGGAAACACTTTTAATTTCCATGTTGTCAGAAGGGCTCCGGTCTATGAGGCCATCGTCTTTGTAGAAATTTGCACTTTGGTTGATGTGAGTTGTCTTGCTTATGCAGCGCAGAGTCACATTGTTTCCCTCAAAAACAGGGAAAACTGGACTCTGTAGGATCACAGAACCATCTGAAGAAAATGCAAAATGGATTTTGTTTTTAACTTTTTAAAAAGGTAAATGACAAATACATTCTGTACCATACAAGACAAATTGGATAATAAACCTCACCTAATTTTAAAATAAAACTCTTTACTAATTTCACAAATATGATGAACTTACCAGTTATGGTAATGTTGACACTGTTGCTTCTCTGACCCCCTTTAACCTCACACCAGTACTCTGCACTGTCTGTTACATAAGTTTGAGAAATTGTGCATGAAGAGGAAGTTGTTTTACTGTTACACGCTGGACTAAAATGTTCTAACAGTTCCTCAGAGGTTCTGACTCCTCTCAGTTCAATAGGACCATCAGGGCTCTCACAATCAAAAGATAAAGGCTCATACTGAAAGTGTTGGAGTCTGTTAGGAGTCACACGAAGAGTAGCTGCACCTGAAAATTAGAAACATCACAAATTAATAGTTAACAGAATAATCAAAATTCTTATAAAATGTGTTAGTGAAAGATGATTAAATCTAAAAGGATTTTAATAAACATCATCAACAGACTTATAAAATGTTTAAGTCAACCCCAACTTACTCACCCCCAAAAAGTAAAAAAAAGATTATTTATTTTATTAACCTCTCTAACTTACTCACCCCTTTTTTGGGTCAAGCTATTTCGAACATGTGTCCCCAGCAGAATAACTTCAAGTATTACTAGATCAGCACAGGGAAGCCATAAATTATTTAATGTACAGACATATATACAGTAAATCTGAAAATATAAAAAAAGAAACCCAAACCTAACAACAATTACTCACATATTCTGAAGCAGAGAGTTGTAATCACCATGTTGTCTTACTGCTGACTGACTGAGTAACAGACTAAAATACAACTGAAGAATATCACTGGGGGAGGGCAGGTTTCCTGTTCCTGTGCAGTTTGTTTAGTCATAATGTGAGTGTTGGGAAGGTTACTTTTAAAATGTATTCCACTACAGATTACAGATACAATACAATGCATGCCCAAAAATGTATTTTTTTAACGTATTCCATTACGTTACTCAATGATAGTAACGTATTCTGAATACTTTGGATTACTTAATATATTATCATGCTTTTTACAACTACATGAATGTACCATTGCTGTGTGATTTATTACTATTACTGAATGTTACTCACTATGGGAGATCGAACCATACCAATACCAACTAGATTTTTAAATCTTAATATAAAATGAGTAACAGTAGGGTGGACATTAGGTAAGGCTGCATGCTTTGCAGTGATCTCGTATAGAAAACAGGGCCGCGGCTCCGAACCGTAGTAAAGGGACCTCTGGCTAATACGTTGGGTTCTGTGTCGGGCTCGTAACCGAAAACTTGCTTTACTTTGTTGTCTGGGTCAACTTTGCTAGCGAGAGACAGAGAGAGGCATTGAAAGGCTGCTCCAACAGAACTTGTTGTTTCGGAGGAAAACACAAACACAGTGTACAGTTGAGTCTTAATAGCTTACTTACAACTGGACTCGTCAGGCACTCTTTTTGGCTGCAGTGGTTATTATTATATTTACATGCTTCATACATGGTATCCTTCTAAAACTTTTGCCTTCATATTAAATAATTTTTTCAATAATACTTTTTAAAAATATTTTTTCACATCATTGTGCGGCCAACAAGTACACTGAAAAAAAGGCCATGTTGGATTTACTTGATTCAATAGTGGACATTGGTTGCACACAAATGTTTTGCTTTGGCAGAAACTTAAACAACTGAGTTAAATCAACACAACTTTTTCATATTCAGTAAACCTGTGCATTTTGTGTTCATAAAATGCGATTGAAACATGTTCAGATGAAGTATGTTGAGCTCTTGGAATATTTTAATCCTTCACAATTTTGTCATTTTATTTCAACACTATTCAATAACTTTTACCCCAATACTACTTGGTCACTTAAATACTACATGCTGTCTTCATATTACATAATGTTCAACAAAGTCTAGATCCTGGTTACCATAAAAATTGAATGGGTCTTCAACAACTACCATCCTTTTATCTTTATCCTGGTTGCAGGAGGGCTGGGAAATAACCCTGAAGTGATAGGTTACAAGGCAGGGTACACCCTGGACAGCTGACCAGTCTATCATATAGAAACAAACAACCATTTACACTTACATTCACAATCACAGGTAATTTAGAATCACTAGTTAACCCTAACTGTAATAGCTGCATGACTTTTAACTGCGGGAGGAAACCAGAATACCCAGAGAGAAACCTGCAAACTAGCCAGAATGTGGATTTGAACACAGGACCTTCTTACTGTGAATCTAGCCTCTCTGCATATCACGTAGTTTCTACACTATGTAGTTACACTTAACTTTAAAGCATGAGGCAATTGTGTTAAATACACGCAAGATGCTTACGTAAATCCAAGAGCTGGCCAATCCCTTTTTTTCAGTGTAGAGGTGACATGGGCTGCAAGATTGAAACACAGGCACGAGAGCCTCTTATTGTGTGTTTTGTTTGGGTTTCCACCAGCGTGCAATTACCAAAAGAGGGAATAGATTTCCTGAGGTCAGATGGCCCAGGATATGAGTGGGCGTTAAAGTGTCTGGGAAGGGTTCTCAAAACTCCATAAAAGAACTGTATAAATTAACTTTTGCATCGGTTGGATGAACTCAATCAAATCAAATTGGACTCAGCTGCAGTAAATAAGTTAATTCCTCAGTTAATTAAGGTGTTCCAACTCAAGTACACTGAGATGGAATAATAGAACTGCATAATGCTAAGATAGGGCAATTAATCATTTGGCAATCCTATCCATGATTGTTTAATGCTCATTCAAATACTTTTTTTTTTTTTTTAGTTTTGGTTGAAATACAGTAATTAATTGATTTTATTTATTTATTTTAAGATTTCAAGCTCCGACCTAGCAAACACATGCTCATGGAGCCCATGTGGGGACACTGTATGCAGACCCACAAACCATAGGTGTGGCCTCTGTAGCTGACGGTCTGATCTTTGTTACCTTGAAACTCTGGCTTTGCGTTGAATGATTATGTCTTTTACCTTTAACCATAGTTCGACACATTGTTGTTATTGTCATCCAAAGACCTCTTGGTTTACTCATGTCAGCTTTCCTTGAGCCCCAAGTTTTTCTTCCTCATTCCCATGCCAAACATGCCTTATTGTGTTCCTCTTTTGCATTCTCATGTAGGGCTTTTATTGCATCATTATTTGGGAGTTGTGCTTCATTGATAGGTGGAAATCAACCCTCCATTTCCCCACATTTTCCATATTTCATTGAGGTCTCTTTCCAATTTTGTCTGTATCTTCGTCTCTTTTCTCCTTCCAACATCTTGTTCTTTACAAAGTTCTTGAGCTGTCTCATATTTCTGAGAGGTCCTGGTTCTTCTTTGAGTATTGCAGAAATCTTAGTTGTTATTTTATTTCCTTTTCTGTTTCATTGTTCTATTAAATTTGTTCTATATAATTATACCTTATTGATGTTGTTTCTTATGTATTCATTTCCTTCTTTTATTTTGTTGTTATTTATTTCAGCTTCATTTGTAATTCAATATTATTATTGTCAATTCCTTTCTTATAGTACTTAAAATTTTTCAATTGTCTGTTTTTCTGTATGCTTTATAATTACTCTGGTCTTTGTTAATCAGTTTTTCTTTTCTCTTTCTAAAAAAGAGTTATTAATTATTATTTTAATTTTAAGTTATTTATTTATTTTTTATTAATGGTTCTTATTTTATTTCACTTTCATTATATTTTTCACTTCTACCTGTGTCCACCAGGGATGATGCTTGACCTCCCTCTGTCAGATGGAGCCTAATGGCGCTTTATCTCAATCCTACCACTAGTTTGCACTAACTCACTCTTTTCTTTAAAAAATTGTAGTACCCTTTTTTGCACACACGGTGTGGCACTCTATTGAATAGACATGTGGTAACTACTCATGTAAGCAGTTGTTACCTGTTATATAGTGCTGTTTTTGGAGTAATAAGGAAAACACTGCATCAACAAAATTAATTAACAATTCCTTGCTTTGTTTCTCATTCAGTCTGCGGCATGCTCATTTTTGTGTGCAATATTGTTAATGTGAAATGTATTTATTTTTCATAATTCCTTCTTTTTCTTTTTTTCTTTTCTTTTTTTGATAATTTGATCAATTATGCACTTATTCCTCTCTTCTACAAACCCTAGCAGCTTCTGGGAAAGCATGGTTAGAGTAATGGCTATGAACTCTTAGATAGGGACCTAATTAACTCAACAAGCTATAAAATTTGACTAAACATGGACACTTTAAATTTTCATTTTTAGGAGTGCCTCGACCTGCTT